AGCAGGGTGATGGGGTGATACCCAGCGAGCTGGAAGCTTCCCTTAGAGCAGCATCCTGCTACCACTGTCCTGTGAGTAAGTAAGGATAGCCTGTGAGGACAGGACAGGTAACTTTCTCTTCCTTTTTACTTCTAACTGACGGCTTCCCACTAGTTAGGGCAGCCCAAATTGCTGTATCTCCACCTTGCGGTAACGCCTGCTTCTCTGGGGAGCAGGAGGAGTCTGGGCTGTTCAGAGAAGTGAAGATGAACTGCAAATGCTACAAGGCAGGTGTGGAGGGGCACGTGTACACCAGCAGCCTGAGGGACAAGCACGTGTTAGCTTTCATTCTCAGTTAACTTCGCCCTGTGTAGTATCATTCCATGCAATATAGGAGTAGGTTTTTACACAGTGATAAGAGTCAGCTGCCTTTTATGTCCAACGTAGGGTATCTGCAGACTACTTTGGCTTTTTGTTTTCCCAGAAACTGCTGTATAAGTAATGCATTTCTTTGCTTTATCAATTAAAAAAGTCATTTTAGTATACCATCCTATCCAACTACTGAAGTAGTCATGTAATTGGAACAACATAGGAGCTTGCTTAGCATGCTTTCTTACATAATTTAATTTCTGCAAAAACATGTGTGTCCTTTGTGCCTGCCATCTGAGTGGAGTTAGTAAAGGGACAAAAAGACTATCAGACTACAAGCTGGAGAACATTCATGATGAAGGCTGCTGCTTTGGAGTTTAGAAGGGTGTAATTTTAGCAAAAGCGTGAAGCTATTTTTACTTGGCAGTCTCACTCATACTCAACTATTAGACTTTTTTTAAAAGGTGACTACAAATTTAATTTTGCAATTTTGAAAATTTTTAAATTATTATTATTTTAGCAATAGGAATTATTTGTGTTCCTGGCAGAATTTTCTAACTATTCAGATAGATATTGTCTGTAAAGGATCTACCCCAGTTCTTCAATCTAAAATCAGTGTGTGCTTTGATGGCTTTGAGATTCTAATCAGCTAGACTAGATAGTCATGATCCATATAGCTTTTAAGTTACCTTCCTTTTGTATACAGGATGGTTCAATCTAAGGTTTTCTCAGCACCTGAGTATTTAGGTTTTTTGTACTTTTCTAGTACAAAGAGGACAAAACCATAGCTTGTCTTGATTCTTAACCATGTATTTCAATCTGTCTCTTCTAGATCGAGCAGGTAAAAGCATGCCCATCTCAGGTGTGTGTGGTTGTCTAAGTGGCACTGTTGGAGCACCAGCCACTACGAGAGTTAACCCCAAGGAGGGTCTCTGCCAAGGTTGACTTAATGCATCTCTTCAATTATTGTAGTCAAGGTGAAATTTCATGGTGAAACTTTCCTGATTGACTGTGAGCTGAAGAAGTCTTTCAAAAATAATGACAGCAAGCAATATGCCAACTGGTTTAGCCATCTCACTGTGGCTACTGACAAAATACCAGGGAGCTGCTATTTTGAAGTTGCGTGTAGATGGCAGTTGTTTGGGGCTGAGCATTTGGTCACTTGTGGGTTTAAATGTTCATAGAGTTCCCTGGCAGGCAGTGAATCTGGAATGTGGCAATGCCAAGCTTTTTCCTAGGACTCGTCACCAATAATCTCAAAGGACCACACCAAATGTGTATTGAAGGCTGTTTGCTCAAGTACGCACAAGGTTCATGTGGTTCTGCTACCAGCACCACCTATCCTTTCTCCCAAGCTGCTGCTTGAACAACCTTACCATTGAACAATCCATTCTTGGCCTTAATGCAAAGGGAAATATTAAACTGACTGCTTAGGAAACTCTTTCAGAAAAAATCCTAGTAACGGAGTATCTGGTTATCTGACCTTAGAAGCATGGTATACTGGACATGTTTTTGTTTGATGGATCCCATAAAGAAAAGCACTAGGCAGTTCTGGAGCTGTGAAGATTAAACCAAATCTGTTCTCAGTAGTGTGAGCACAACAGGTACCTCCTAGAAGCGTGACTCTAAAAAGCCTGAAGGAGAAAATGTGACCTTGTGCATTCACACATCTGTGTAGGCCAGTAGTTGCATGTGGCTGAAGCACAGAGCTACAGTAGGTTGCAGAACTGGACTGATGTTTGCAGTTTGCTTCCAACCGTATTACTGACTCATGCTGCAAACAGGGATGAAGCTCATTTTTCCAGAAGCCCAGTGCCTTGACCTCCCTGTGCCATTACCATTCCTCACCTTTTGGAAATCTGACCAGGACAGTTACAAGGGCTGCTCTTTCAGGATGCACTTGTTAAATGGATTGCCCTTGAGAGGCACGCACTGTCCTTTTTCAGGACAGCATAACTCTGAAATTACTTAGCTCATTTGAGCTTTGCTCTTTTGGTAACTCAGGTTGTCCGTATATCTAATAAAAAGAAAAAGACTTACCTAATGTCTGTAAATTGCTTTCATATTTGGGTTAAAGGTGCTGGAAAAAAATGCAGGATTAGTAAGAGAGGGCATTGCAAAGGCACTAGTAAGAGTCGGATAGCTAACTCCCCTTTGTGCCTTGTAAAATGTGTTCTGCAAATATTACTGATTCGCACGTTACTGTGGACATCCAAGGTGCGTGGAAAAAATAACTCTGCATTTCCACGACTTCTTTTTGGTTTTTACAGTCCTGTTCTTATGAATACTAGGAAACAATGAATCAAATGTATTTGTTTATAACTGTAAATCTCAATGCAACTGGCTTGGTATAAATCATGTTACCATATGCCTTTAGGAGGTTGATCAGTGCAGAGAGAAAGGCAGCAGGTACTGGAAGCATAATGTCTTAGTTTGATACAGCACCTCCTGGGTGTTGAGGGAAGTGCACAGGGTTCTGGATTTAATTTCATCTTCTGCTTGCACTTTCCTCCTGCTGTTGACCAGTGAGAAGGCTCTCTGAAGTCACTTAGCACTTGTCTTTGCAGTGATGATTCAGTATTTCTGTGAGCATGAAACTGGACCTGAGGTTGGGTTGCATCCCACCTTCTTTGGGAGAGGGGAAAAGGACTTCAGCCCTCCCATCTATCTCCTCTAGTGCCTGTTTGCAGAGGCAGGCATCTGTGTGGCCATGTTTCAGAAGTGTTCCTCTTTTTATAAATATCTCATTCAATAAACAAAATGAGCAGCTGCAGTGTGGTTCGATTATCTGAGCTGTGGATCGCAGCAGGAAATGCTAGGAAGTAGCTGGTCTTGTTGCAAATCGCTGGTAGACGCGCCAGTGGTGAGAAGCTGCAAATGGGCAGCGAGACTGCAAAACGGGCAGAGAGAGCTGCACCTCACGGGAACGTGAAGCATAGAGTCAGCTGTGTCAGGTCAGGAAAGGAGTTGCATAAGTTGAAAGCAGAATAATGTTTTGTACGTCCATATGTGTGTCTTTCACCATGTCTCAGTGAATATCCCTGTTTGTTAACTAAGAAAAGCTAAATTCATATGAGGTAATGGATTGCTCTTGCCTGGACAGTGATGAGTAGAAGGAAACCAGGTGCACACAGTAAGATGTTAAAAGGCTTTGTGGGAGACTGGAACATAAGATCGAACAATTTCTGGTTAAAAAGTACTGAGCTGAAAGCCACGGAAGCTGAACTCACAGAAATAACATCGTGGTGGTGGAGTGAACCAGGCCTGTCTTCCCACTCCATCTAAACCCAGAATAGTTAGAATAGCTTATTCTCCACATGCTGTCAGTCTTCTCTGACATGACTGTCAGGAGTGGTGACTATAGTATAATGGTGGGACTCCAGATGTTGAGGCGAAACTTCTGGTTCTGTGTGGGCTCCTGAGCCAGCAAGCTGATAGCAGCACCTTGGGCCAGAATGGGCTGCGCTTGCTTTGAAGTGGTAGCTGAGAGATGCAAGACTTTCTAGGTGCTCTGTGCCCCGTTTCTTTTTGGACATGTCACCTAGTCTACCTGAAGAATTTTCTGCTTTGAAATATTTAGCTATTTATTCATGTTGT